AAAAAAAAAAAAAAAAAAAAGAATATAACAAAAAATCTGTGATTCTCAAATAAACACGTTTTTACGATAGTTCTCTGTGATTTTTGTAAAACCAATAAAACATTCGCGTCATGACAATCTTTTCAAGCGCGAAACAAAAAATAAAGGAAGAGTAAATAAAATAAAATAGAAAAAAAAAGATAGAAGAGAAAGAGAGAAAGAGAGATAGAGAGAGAGAGAAAAATGCTGTTCGATACAATCGACACTGAAAATTTTAATTGCACGCGTGCTTATAGCGTGATTTGAAATAAAAATAGAATGCAAATCAAATGCAAATATTATCCATTTCGTGTTGCATGATAAGATACAAGATAACATACAAGATACGTGACAAGATCGAAGAAGAAACTTTCCTTAACACTTGTAATTATCCAAAATCGTGTAACTCGAAAATTGCGTATCGCTCAACGCTCTGTTACAAAAATATTTATAATCGTAGTTGCAGAATAATTTGGTATTTTTGTAAATGCCTATAATCACAATTGCAAAAATACCAAGTGATTTATTTGTTAATTAATCAATTGTTAGTTCCAAGATTTTAAGTTGGATTAAATTCTAACTAACTGAGCGAGTGAACGAAATTCTGATTGAAACGGTTGAAGTGTAAAATTCGTATCGGAAAAATGAGACTGCAAGGAAAAAGGAGAAAAAATTTGCATTGAAACAACCCAAGCTTGTATTTACAGAAAGATGAAATAGTGGTACAATCATAGAATGAAAATAATTCTGCGTGGAAAGAGAAATAAAAAGTTTGCTACAAAAGTTTGTTTTCGACAAAATCGAGTTTGAATATTTATGAGACACGTGTATTCGTAGTGCTTCCTGGCTATCGTACCAATATTCTATTCTTGCTTGATTCTGTGTTTATAAAAATTGAAAATGATATAGCTGTAGAATATAGGTTTTTGCAAAATCTTCATTATGAATATTTTTTGACTGCTGCGTAACATGCACAACTCAGCCTGACAAATTGAATAATAACTTTGGCCAATTCTCAGAACACTATAAAAAAGTTCTATAAAAAAATACAAAAAAAGTCACAAGAGTGTTTTAATCATTATTATTATTTACTCAAATAGTAATAAAATTTTATTGCAAATCTTCTTAACGCACGCGTGATTTACATCAAATTCCTCCTTTGTCGTCCAAATTTAAAATTCAAACTTCGAAGAAACGATGTCACTTCATACGCATCAGCTTAATAATACTACTTACGGCCCTTTCTGTATATTATTTAGGATAGATCATTCGAATCTCTAAAAACGCATGGTAAAAAATCTATCAAAATTCTATGAGAAAAGAAGAAACTTCAATTTGTCATTTTGACTTCCACTCTGATCGGCAATTCTAGTTAATGCAATTATGTCAGTTGGAGATCGTATTAGCGACCAATGGTCGTGTGGCCAATTTTCTTAGACATTAATGGCACGCAGAGAAGCGACAGTGTGAAAGCAAGACATTACGAGTAATTTAGAGCCGGTTTAATTCCGATCGAAGACAAGCCGATGAAATCCAATCCGAAATTTCAATTGTGCCCGATGATGCGTTCGGTTCACGAGCCTGATACACGCGAATCTCTTAACGATAATCGCTTGTCGATCGACGGATACGCAGCCAAGCGATAATTGTTCGCTTAAGCTGTTGGATAACGAGACGATGATTATCATTTTCCGCGAGTTTTTCGATCGGATTGAACGATTGTTTCCTGGTAGTGAAGATTCGTATTATATTATTTTTATACTTTATACTACCATGGATAATATAATTTTTTAACCACGCGTGTGCTTTATATCACAGTTGATAACATACGAATTTGTTGTTGAATTCTTTCAATTTTGAAACGAACGTAGCACTCGCTCTACGGCTTCTAAACGGCGGGAAGTAATTATTTATTTATTTATTTAAATGAGTGAAGCGGGTGGGATTAATCGCTCTCTCGTCTGTTGAAGATGTTTCTTAATTCTGAGAGAAATAAACTTTTAATGCAACGTTGAGAACAAAAAACAAAAAAAAAAAAAGAAACGACGAGGATAAGTGAGGACAAACTCATTGCGTTTTCCATGGGATTGGAAGCAGAACTAATGACACGAGAATAGAAAATACTTCATTCACTATGAAGTAAGAATTCTTGATGAATTCAGTTTCGGGTTAATAATACTCGTAAACGTAATTCGTTCAATGACGCGGAACATAAATATGATGCAAACTTTGTGACAATGTGAAAAAGAGGTAAGATGATTTTCGCGAGAGTAACTCACATTTATCCTCGTTTGTTTTTAATCTAAAGGAAACTTATTCGTTCTCTGAAATCATGAAATTCGTAATAACGAAGGGGCAGAGCTTGTGCTGGAATTGAAAATGTTCATTAAAATTCCAAACTATCCTCCGCGGGAATAACTCTGCCTTTTTTATTCTCTAACTTTACATTTTTGACCATAATTTTATTGCCGAGGAGGTACGTACTTTTGCAACTCTGCGTAAAACTTTTTTAGATGCACGATTTTGAAGGCTCGTAAAATATTATTATGACGCACAGATACGGAGAACAATTAATCTTACTTTTCTTACAACAGAGATGTTTTAACGTTATGTAATACACAACGTTGCTGATAAGTGAAAATCTCTGACATTTCACGGCTTCGAGGAAATATGTATATCGACGAAAACGTGTCGCAAGTTCATCGGCCATAATATTAACGACGTGGTAGAAAAAAAAAAATAAGAATCTGGCCTTGCGTGGAATGACCAAGTTACTTACTCGATTTATCAACGAGTTATCAAAGTCTAATCTTTATTTGTATAATGCTGATGTTTACGTAAGTTCACGCTTCTTTAATTCTTTACTTTGCGTTGCGCCTTTGCAAATCTTTTGGTAAAATTCAGCAGTAACTTGAAAATTGGAAAATACTTTCTATATTAAACGATTAATCGAGAAATGAAAATCGAGTCTTATTTTAATTGATAAGATCTTTCTCTTCGAAGACTGTGCAATGTTTACATTTTATTACGTTTTAGTATTATGTACATGCACATAGCGTGATATCATTCTTTCAAACAAACTCATTTCCATAGAAAATGCTGCGTGCTTTCCAAATGAGTTACATACCTAGAGATATAGTACGAAGCGAAAAGAAAAGTTAATTGAAAAGAGAGCGTACAAGTTAAGGAAAGTTTAAACTTAATTTAGAAAGGGAAAAGAACTTCATAATGAATGTTACAGAAGTTCCTACGTATTAAAATTGCCCACTGGAAAGGAAAAAGGAGTGAAGTCTTAATGAAGTGAATATTTTTAACACTATTTATCACTTACCAAATTTAACTAAAATTAATTTAAATTACAAATTTAATCACAAATTAATTATTGCAATTTATTATACGTTTACATTGTATTATTACAATTTAACTGAAAAAAATTTTAATTACAAGTTGTTGAATTTCATCACGACTAGAATGCTGAAAAAGTTTTTTAATTTCTCAAATTCCGTTATAACCAAGAGAGGAGGTTAATCATAATTACTTTATTAATACTTCTTTATTATTCAAAATTAGATTAATTTCTGATCAATTTCTGTTCTATTCTTCTACAAATATTTTATTACGCAGGAGGAAAGTAAATTATCAACGTAAAAATTTCATTATCCCTGTTTCATTAAGTTTTATCGAAACTACGATACGTTCTTTTAGGATTTCTCTTCTTTTTCTATTGAGAAAGTTTGAAGTGTCGAACGACAGATTTCTTTCACTGAAAATATGTCAGGAAGTTGCAATCAGTGTTACGTTCCAAGTTGACCTGTAACCTTCAGTTGCCAAACCTTCGAAAACTACCATTCAAAAACTACCACCTACTTCGAAACTATAAAAGTATGGCAGATAAGATAAATTACACCGTTCACTCAGTTTACTTTGCTAAGCTAGTTTTTTTTAAGAAATTTATTCTTGGCCTATTTCTTTCGAGAATCAGAGCAGACTGGCAAAGTGACAAGCAGGATAAACTGCATCATCGATTTTGAACTCTGTTCTTCTCCTGTATAACTCGGAATGGATATTATAATTCAATAGTTATATATAATTATTATATTATGTTATAATTATTTATACATATATAATATTATATTACATTATAATTAAATTATATTATATTATATTATATTTCGTTCAATCTTTTGTATATTCCATTCTTTTCTTCTAGACGAAGAATTCTATTGTAAAGAAGGAAAAATATTTAAGAAGACATATCTTGAGGAGAACAACAGAGTTAATCAATGCATCCGACCAAAGTACCCTTTTCATCGTAAGAAAAGGAAAAAAAAATAAATTTACTTAAACCTTTCCTCGATACAGGGGTGCTAATGCTATCCATTCAATGGCCTACAGAAAGTAGTTGCACTTCACCTTTACATTCGTTCCCGAGGTAGCATAGTACGAGTTAATGTGAACGCGAAATTCAGCCATTCGGATGTGAATTCGCTGAAACGCATGAAGGAAGAACATGAGGAAAGAAATCCGGCTCGACTAACACGACTAACGCGTCTAGGATCCTTTCAACGCGAGTCTCAGAAAAAGAAGGGCAAACGGAGTAATAAAATTGTGCTATCGACCGATTACAAATCTATTACCAACTCGAACACTTGTCCTCGTAAAGAGTAAAACAAGCATGGTCGACGTGATATTAATGTAATGTACAAGTCTCTTTGAAGCATAGTGTGTTAAAAAATGTCTCATCTCGATATATGCGTGGTGAGCTATTTTTCAATACATCTTGAAAAATTCAAAAACAGAGATTTCTATGTCACGTCGGAGTACTTTTTAGTTTCAATTCATTTTGTATTATTTTGTAATGTTTAATAATTGAAATAACCTTTGTGCT